TCAGGCAGGGAGGATACAGCAGTGGTGACGAATGCGTCGAGTTAAATCTTGCCCTGCCTTGATGGACGAGATGGCGCTTACGACTCTGATTGACCCTGTCCGTTCGTCGAATCTAGGCTGTTCCATAGCACTGTTACTACATCACGATCGTCACCCGGACTACAACCCTTCTACGACAAGGTCAGAAGACGGCAAACTACGCGGCGGGACCTCGTGGCAATCGGCCCGCCTATAGCGTGCCCTTTGGGCGCCCTGTGTGAATGCGCTTCGACACGGCGACTAGTGTTTAGGCCTATCTACCCAACCAGCTGTTCTGTATACGCGTCGTGCAGGTCGATCCATCAAGGTGAAGTAAGTTCATAAATCTATCAACAATCGAACACTACAACCAAAAATTTGGCGAACATATTTGCTTTGGGGTGCACGATACGGCGAACGTCTGTCATGTGGATATCAACAACCTCCCTGCATTTATTCATCCCTTCTTTTTTACCAATTCATCGTCCTATTGGATCCCGTGCTATTACTGTTCGTTGTCCTACATCTATTCTTTCTGTTATCTATCGCTCTTTCGTCACTGTGTGCCTTATCTATACGGTTGCTGTGGCCATATATATATCAATATATATATATGCAGCAACAGCTACGTGTGAGCGGGGCAGAATGGAGACGAATATTGAACGCGCGATGCACACTGCAGCCGATGCGATTCGACCGCAGGATTCCGTCTGTAGTTACTGACCTTTTTTTTTTTTCTACACATAACAACAATAGTAACAGTTACTGTAGCAGCATAAAAAGGGAACAGCAAACATACCATAACGCTCTACTCGTCCCTTTGTATGTGTCAGTGATCCGTTATGTGGTCTATCTCAGACGATGTAGAAACAATCGCACACTGGTCAATTACTACAGTATTGCTGCTATTATATCCGCCGCTATTACTACTAGCACTACTTGTACAAAGTGTTTATAATGATCTGTCTGTTTTAGTTGTTAACAAACATTACTATTGTCGACTATTGTTCATATCTATATCAAACAAATATAAGGAGTTTTATTCCGGCACTCAATCGCTATTGCAAAAACTGCTTTATTGTACTCATCGTTCGCCCGATCGTGGGACGGAGCGACAGGAAGGGGCCGTGGTGCGCTCGCCAGTCCCGTCGGTCCATGTTCTATGTGTGCGCTTTGAACCGCGACGAAAAACCTCGCCGTGGATCGTCGTCGATCGAACGTAGATGTTCATGTTTGAGACTAAACTTAAATTGGCTGAACCATGGAATGCTTCACCACGACGCCTCCTGGAACAACTGTGACTGTTTACCATGCCCGCTATCTTATTTCGTGGCAATCCGTCCCCGAGTTCTGTGTCCTGACTTGTACGCTTTGTCCTTTGTTAGCGAGGGCGGGCATGGTCATAGGTCGAGTTGCTTAGGGCGGTATGTCCCGTTTCTGACAAATGGGAGTTATGAAATGTAATCACAGTGACAACATAGCACACCGCATGCGCAATGGCCGTTGTAGAGAGAAGCAGAACAGTAACAAAAAACGAGTGGCGTACAACAACGAGAACACAGACACAGATGCAGACAACCGATTTTCACTGTGTCCTCCGACCGCCAAACAAATAGGACAGGATGAAAAAAGACGACTGAGTTTGGTTGATGCCGCTCTGGGTGCATGAGGGGTATAAGTGGTCATCTTATCGATGACAGACTATTAACAGCTGGTGATGCACACATATGTCTAAGTATATTCTATAAGTGTATTGCGAATCGATTCTTGACCTATCTATCTTTCTATCTATCTATCTCTCTACATATATATAAATACTAGTGCCGCTCAAAAGATATTCAGGGCAGATTTACGATCTTAGTATTTTTAAAGTGGCTTTGTACCCGAAGGGTCGAAAAATTTCGAGGTATGATCGTAAATTTGCTCGAAATATTTTTTTGAGTGGCAATAATCAGGCGAAGCAAGTGAAGTACTATTTTTGAGTCCTCATTAAAAAATGTAAATATCTTACACAATGGTAGTGTCTTAGCTAATAGGTTAAAAAAAAAAAAAAAAAAAAACAGTCAGCGAAACAACTGTGCAGTTTTCGATAGAGATGTTTATTCTGTTGAGGCCATTGTACGTTGTCTTGTATTCTATGTTCTGTCGATGGTTCTGATTTCGTGTCTAAAGGGAAAACTTCTAACGATATCCGACGACCTTCAAGATCACTTTAAGAATGGAAATATCATAGTTCGGTAACAACGCCTGTGTCGTTGATTGAATCCGATGAAGTTCTATCCTTCTATGGGATAATGTAGCTTAAATTCGGATTTAAATTTAAATTCGGTAGACAGTTCCTCAATTTGGTTCGGGACAAGGGTAAATTCTTTTAACGTTCTAGGAAGCATTTTTTTTTTATTTATAGAATCAGTAATTCGGATAAATGCATCTAGTGCCACGAACTACATAAATGTAAATTTGTCTGACACTGTCAAATTGACATGGTAAATAACGTATGTTATGGACTATATATCGAACAGAATTTTTAGGTTTGCCCTGAGTTTGTTTCGATAACGCTCTTTTACAGAATCTTTGTTAGGTCCACTCAAAAATATCTCGCTGTATCTCTGGTACTTAACAAGCTTCGTTGATTTAGTTAGGATCTAAAGGCGAGGCGAAACGACGTTACGGAGCACCACTCTATTCAGAAGAGGAAAAGTAATCTGCCTTATTATATGATGTGCCAACTGTTGAAAATAACGGTTTCGAAAGAGTTGGTTTCCAGTACTATGTCTGCTACATACTAGCCGGAGAAATGGGTTTCATCCAAGACGATTACTGAGATGGCGTCCTTACTATCCAGCCGCAACTAGGTTCACGAATCTACTACATTCGTTGATAATTTTAGTTGTGGATTGGTGCTTTTTTATTGTGGGGTTCCGGATTTCGTGTTGTGTGGTTAAATGGGACCGGGTTTTGCATCTTTTTCTTTCTACTTGATGTCGTTGTGGTCGTTCCTTAAGTACTTACTATTCTTCGACCTTTGCAACGGCGTACGCTTGAATGTGCTGCATACAAGAAGCTAAGCAATCACAAGCCGGTTCGATTTTCCTTTACCAATCTGTGTGTTTTTCATGACATTTTTATTACTATTAAAAACTATTCTCATTTTTAACATTGCAGGGCAATTGATTGGTAACGATTATATTGTCTTGTGTTATATGTCATTTTAGGTAAAACGACTAAGGAAAATGTTTATATTTAGTAGGTCAATAATAATAAATCCAAAATGTCTACCCATCACACACATTATTACGTTGACAATATCGAACAGTAGTGATATTAATAATAATCAATATTAATTTTCTTCTTCTTTGATGGGTGACTAACCGAACTAACACTTGGTTGGCCCGTTAAAGGTGAATTTATCTCACCGGCAAGTAAGTAAACATGGTTCTGCTGTGATTAAGTAAAATTGACTGGTTTCAGTAATTAATTAATTAATTGGTTCAGTGGTCTGTAACTAATTGGCCGAGGGAGTATGGTGATGTGCTAGTTGGTCTTTTCTAAATAAATTTACTCGTTGATTGGCTTACTCCAGACTTTACTCTCCGTGTCTTGCCCTCGTCCACAATATTTTCGCTGACCACTTGGTGAGGGTTAGTTAGCCAGGTACCTGCGGCCTGATTTCTGCTGTCTGTCGTTGGCCCCCCTCAGCAGCTCCTCGTACCTTCTAACAAAGGCCATCGAAACTTTTCCCTTGCATATTGTGTCGTGGAGTCTATCACCCGTGCTTCTGCCTGACTTTTGGGTGTACACTTGAACGCCGTTTATATGTAGATGCATACGCGAATGGCGGGGATCTGTACGAGCGCGTCTGCGACTGTACGCGGGATTTAGATGGATATTCGTGTGTCTAGAAACAGATGTAATTTCACTATTTGAATCTGGTTTGGGGCTCGCGTGCTATGGCCACTTGGACGCATTTCGGCAATCGCAATTGATAACGTAATTTGCTTAATGTGTTCCCGGTATGCGCGTGTCTGCGGGTGCAGTTGGAATTGGCGTATATGCAAGTACTATACTGCTCCACTACCGTTGTGATTCATTGATATATGTTAATGGTTGGAGAAAAAAAAAAGAACACCTTCATATTTTGGTAACCACAAAATATATGTATACAACGCCTAAATTGCTTTAGCTCTTAGCATTTTCTCATGGATGCGTTCATTTCATCTGATAGTAGGATGACTATTTCACATTGTTGCAATATGACGACATATTCTTTTTTCCTAGATTGTTTGACAATATAGTAGAATGCAACATTTGTTTGTGTTTGTATTTATGACCGGATTGATGTTGGCAATAATCTTATCTTAGGTACCTTTGTGAAAAACACTTGTCTCCTTTATCTAAGTCCCGTGTTGTCAAGGCCACTCGTGTGAGCTGTGATTGTCGTCGTCTTAGTCATCCTAAATGTCAGTGGTGAAGATGTCATGAGGTTCTTAATGCTAATTCGAGTGCGGACTCCACAAAGACAGAAGCAGTTGCTTTGCAACGGTATGAGATGGCACCAACTTCGGTTTCCATTACGTATTATATTTATATATTATATATATATATATAAGGAAAATTTTCATTTTCCTTGTCGCGATTAGTTAATTTTTGGTCTGCGACTAAGGGCTTGAACTACCGCTCCGCACTGCATCGCAAAGGGTCGCAAGCGAAAACAATGACTGAAATGAGCTCAAAAGCAATTGAATTAGTAAAGTAATGAAACTGTTACAAACAAACAAACAAATAAGACGCGCGTGTGAAGCGTAACAATAACAGATAGCAATGTCATGCCTATGTATTATCGTGTGTAATGATCCTATACTGTGAATGCTAAGCAATGCTACTGCTTTTATTGCTGCTGAGGGTGGATATGCAATTAGAGGGGGGCAACTGCACGCTTCAGGGCAGCACGAGGAGGCCTAACTTTTCAACTTGTCTTGTAGGTGAATAACGCCACCGCTCGCACTCAGACCAAGAAACCCGCCAACTCGGCCGGTAAGTAAAGGAGCATATATGCGCATATTCTCGATTCATCTACCTCTCGTTCCTTGCTACGGTCCACATGAACCATCTCACAGTGTACAAATCAGTTAATATAGAAAAAATTCAACTGTACCTTTACCAAAATCACTTGATTAGAACCAGGTTATTATTCATGTACTGTTGACGGCTAGATAATTGGACAATTTTAGCAAATTGAATTTTTGCTTCATATTATATGATAACACTAGGTAAAATGAAGGAGGAAAATATTAGTATCCTGCGCGTAGTGTAGTACAATTATATATATATATATTAGTTGTTTGTAGTGCGCATCAGCTTAATTTCACTGTTTATCATTGTCGCCTCATTGAATTTCCGTGCATTCATTCTAGGTTACATGTAGCTGTAACTTGTCGTTATTTAAATCGTTTTCGCTCTCTTTGTGTTTATTCGTCGTCCAATGCAATTTCTCGTTGTTCCTTTGTTCCAGCCAATATGGCCGCAGCGGCCGCCGCAGATTTACCGCTGGTCGCGGCGCTTAGGGGCGCGGCCCTACAGCGAGGTCGGGCGGGTGCCCTGGGCGGCGCGAATGGTACTCGAGGCGGCCACGGTGGGGTAGTGCCGCACCACGGAGGCGCCGGTGCCGCCTCTGCCGCCACCGCGGCCGCAGCCCAGCTGGCTCTTGCAGCCGCAACGGGCAGGCTCGCACCCTCGCCCCTAGCCGCTCTGACCGCCGCCTACCAGCAGGCCGCTGATCCGTTTTTAGCTGCTGCGTACGCCAACGTTGCCGCCGCCGCGGCCTCCGCTACCGGACAGACCACCGCATTACCGGTATGTGATCAAGTGCGCAAACATTAACGCTCAATTGAGGGGGTGCCGTAGATGGGCATATATAATGTAACGTACCTTATATATATTTTCAAGCCTAGCGTCTGATCTGTTACGCTCTAGTGAAAAAAAGAACGACTTAAGGAACGAGTTTAAAATAAGCCCTGCAGTGAAACATTATAGTCAAAGATTTGTCACTGAAATAACCGCATTATTTTAGTGAATCAAGTTTGTGGCTATTACGGGATACGATAGATTTTTGCTGAAAGACTAACGGATCATAGAGGATCATTTAATTCAGTAAGCGGAAATTTTACTTATTTACGGTTCGGCACATTTTTATTAAGCATCTATTACTTTAAGAGCACATATTTCCAATATTCCTAATATACGATAATTTCACTACTATCTTTAAGGGCTGGTGGGCTATTGCAGTTTGCGTCTTATAAGATTAAACTCTGTCTTCCTACGAATAAATTTTACGTTGGTTGAACTGTGCCTGTTGAATGATCTGTGCCTAGCATTGAAGATCACCATGGCTCAGTTGCTACAAAGGTATGGCTTAGCAGAAAGACGAATTCCGCTCAAGATGAAATTGAGTGAACAAATAACGGTGGAATGGAATTGGACCTATGAACATACTTGATTGCTAACACACGTTTCGTTTCATGTGCTTGTTCCTTTATTTGTTTGTATCCATCACTACGTCATGGTTTTTTGTATTTCCCGTTTGCGCGGCGCCATTTGTCGCCTTCGGTGGCCTCCAATCTCTGCTATACGCAACATAGGCCAACTATGCCAATGCAGCCTACACAGCAGCTGTGGCTAGACAGTACGTTGCAGCCGCGGCCACTCAACCCGCAGCAGCGACCGCTGCCCAGCTTGCAGCCGCTACGGCCGGAGCCTATCCGGGACATCCGGGCCATCTCGCCAATCCAGCCAATGCGGCGGCCATGTATTATGCCGCCGCCCAGGCCGCTCAGGCTGCCCAGGCCGCCCAGGCCGGTGCGGGAGTGGCCGGTTACCCCGGTGCGGCAGGACAAACCGCAGCTGACCCCTATCAACAGTTCGCCGCCGCAGGACAAGCCGCTGCCGCCATCGGACCCATTGCCGGCTACGGGGTAGGCTAAATAGCAAGAATTGACTAACATAAGTTCTACTCACTACTGTAGGCATTATTATAAAAAAAATTACAAAACCAAAAGAAATTAAAATTGAAGCGTTAATGCCAGTCGATTTGTCGTCAATATCAATTTTATTAAAATGCATTTGAGGTTCGGTCTTGAAAAGTGATTATGATCATCGGTGTCAATTCAACCACAAACGGGTCTTTTTTTCCTTATAGATTTCCATTATCACCTAGGCAATTGAAAGACAACCGGTACAACTATGTACCTGTCACTAGTTGACAAAAAAGCGTAGTGAAGTATTCCTGAGACTCAAAACAGCATTAGGTCGCATAACTTCAGCCTGTACGCAAAAAGCAGTCAACGTATACCTATTTCCGCTTATGCTGACATAACGAAGAACGGTTCAGGAAACATTTCATTCCCTTCGTGTTACAATGAACAAATACTCTAACACTGCTATACTGAATAGCTGAAGTAAAATTCTTTAAAGAAATCAGACGATTTATGTAATATATATGTTTACTGTGCGAATCGCTGGATTTCTTGAGTGTCTAAAGAAATTTACATCTATCTCTCTAGCCATCTTATAGCATACATCTCTAGCTTATCTGTGCCATCGCCGTCGTTTTCTGCGTCTTCGTGCGATGTACCTTTGCTGTACGCTGACCGTATCCTTTGTTTCTCTTTGTCCGTTTGCAATTTCCCAGAGCATTGCCGCTGCCCAAAATGCTGCCGCCGCAGCTCAGAATGCTGCCGGTGCGCCGGCGGGCCAAGGAGCGGCCGCGGCCGCACAGACCAATGCGGCGCAGGCCGAGATCCTCCGTCGACTGCAACAGTCAAGGCTCAATCCTACCTTGCAGAGCGCCGCCGTATACCGAAGTGGATACAATCGCTTTACACCCTATTAAACCATCAACAGTGACGATACAGCACGCCCAGCCAATTCATCATCGATCACTCGTGTCTCGATCGAAAATCTGCAGCATCCGGACGAGGACGTTGACGGCACGAGGGCAAGACGAAAAAATCAAGCACTATGAAGAATTAACGAGATACGATGAAGCACGCAGGCAGCCAACACAGAGAACGTCCACCATCACTGTCTTTTAATGGCGAAACATGCGAAAAAAACAAGATGACTAAACATGTGCCCGTTTCGTTATGACGTGTTGTTTATCGACGGACGTCGAAGGACACAGGCACATGTATATACGTACATAATTACAGATGGCCAACGTTCACAATACTGTTGGTTGCACGGCGACTAGCTGAAAAAGGCGACAATGATAAGAATGGTGACCACTGATGATGATAACGAAACAAACGCAGAAATATAAATGGCCTGTACTCGAGAGCGAGCGTCTCTAGTAGGACGAGGTAGCCACCGAATCGACTGCAGCTACTAAAGGACTCTAGAATTATCGTCAGATGACTGACGAGTATCATTACAAATAACAATATGAAGTAAACTGCTTGCAAAATGGCAATTTCGCTTAATGACCGACTGCTAGAAACATGCATGGGTATGAAACCTAGACGAAATGGACGGAATATAGCGAGAGGAAGTTGACAAACAGCACGTCGGCGGTCTACCAGATTGTTTTCTCTTAAAAATAAACAAGGTCCAAATACAAACGAGAAACGTTGGTAGAATAATAGGCAGCGGCAGAAAACGGTCTTAATAAATTGATTACACGATTATATATCCCGTACGTGCCCAGGCGTAACAGTGATGTCGAAGTTGGTGCGAAGCTGGAAGATTGATTGATGGTAAGAAGTCATCTTCAAGGAAGCTCTTATCCTATACACAGTGCGAGCAGTCACAATTGAACGAATAATGAAAGTGAAGACTCCGGAAACCAAAGCGGAAAAAAGTGACTACAGTTGACAAAACAGCTCTGAGCACCTTGTCCAGGTTGATAGACGTTCAAGCGAGGTAAAATGACTGATGATTAAGGAGAGGAAGCTCGACGGAATGACAATCCGGCGTGCCAACAAGCGACTCGCGCGGATAACGACACACTTCCTACTTTAATCGCACGCGGGCTCGAGAGAACCTTAACCGGGCAAGGGCATGCTTTGGATCAAGTGTACTTACGAAGACTGACAAAAAGCTAAAAATGAAGCTGAAAAGCAGAAAAGGCAATCCAGAAGCGAGCGGAAAAATGAAAATATATAGTGACAATTAGGGTATTGATGATAATGACGACGGGCGCGTAGGACGAAACCGAAAATTTATTCATTCACATAATATTTCGAAAGTAAAACAGACAGAAGTAGAAGTTCACTTTTTGGCACCTAACATTTTGCCGAACCCCATTAGAGAACTTGGCCGAACGGGAAGTCCAATGATACAAATTCGGAATCGGAGATGACAGTTCATTGAAACCTAGTTCTATGTATTTTTCTCGAAACAATATAAGACAAGTAAACTAAACAGTAACTGAAAAAGCGAAAAGCTGAGTAGAACGGAAGATGTACACAGAGAACTGTTATGTACGTTATTTGTATGGATTGCGTTACGAGGGATCGGCAAGGCGAAAAGGGCCGGAGTGATGGACGAATAGCTTGATCGTCGATTAGTCTTTGAGAATAGATATACTCGAAAGAAAACACGTTCACGCGCGTACTTAGACACGTCGATATACCAATACGCTGGCACATCGGGACAGGAAAAGCATCGTGGTAATCGTGTGTGAACATACAGGCACATTTGTTGCCCCGGGGGGTAAACAAAAGCGATCGCCTTTTTGGTCGGCGTCACGCTTTCGAACACTACCGTCGCGACGTAGCCGCCAAAATGTTCATTGTATTTCGTTTGGCTTCAGTCCGCAGAAAAGTCGTTTAGGCCCGTAACCTAGATTTATTTTGATACCTAACTACTCCGGGGCTTTTTTTGGTCAGTAGTGCCTCAAGTAGAGACACAAGAGCCAAATAGGGCAGTTTTCGATTACGAACGCTAAAAACGATCGAGCTCTAATACTCGTTTTCCTGCTTTTGTTTTGTGACTCGTTCTATTTTGCACTTGACGGCATTTGATAAAGCACGGCCTTAGCATGGAGTTTGAATATGAATTGTCAATAATGATATTATCACGATTACTAGTATATATATTATAATATTGAATATAATCAATACATTATTGATACAATCAATCAATCAATCCTACATGATGATGACTATTAACAATATTTTTGCTAGCATGTAACTAGTAGCATCGTATTATATACATGTGTAATGATCGTATTTGTTTGGTATGATGAGAGACTCGAACCTGGCTGATTCACTCAGGGGTGCCTCTCTTTTACCATGACATTATCGCTATAATATGAGATATTGTTACCACCCTCTAGCGATCATAATCATTGCTATTACGACTATATGAATATGAGTCTCATTATCGTTTTGGTGACGTAGATAGACAACAAGAACTTCATTTATTATTACGCTGTGTGTGTGTATATATATACACGATAAGTATGATGAGAAGGTTTTTTTTTACATACACACTGTATTTCTTCGCTCTGTGCGCGTATGCGATTTGGTTGCAAGCTTCAATACAAACCCACCAATGCTCAAGGATGCTAGTCTCTTTCTGCGTTTAGTCTTGAGATGAGTTTTGCAATGGGAATGAGCCGCTCACCTCCCACCGTGCCATGGCGGGAAGCTAACGCAAAAAAAAATAGGTGTCGCTTTGAAAAAGTGAACAATTTGAAAATTAGCGCGGGTAGCCAAATTCAAACGCCGATATATGGATTAGCCTCTCGGCATCGATCCTGTATCGCGACAATAACGCGGCCTGTCGTCACCATAGTAGTAACGGGATCCGATAGATTCGTTTTTGGTAACGAGTTTCTTAATGCTGAGGCCCTACGGCGCCCAGGGGAGCGTCGCGTATGCGATACAGTATCAGGAAAAACATACAAATAGAACAAACATGCTTTAACGCTTAAAGTGGCCGTTTTAGTCGGCATCTCCAAGCAGAAAATAGCGGATAGTTTCTGTTGGCATGATTGATGATATGGTCGTATGAATAACAACCGATGTAGCAGCAGTAGTAGTAATGCGAATCAGTACGATGGAAAAAAAAAGCAAAAAACACACAGCAGTGTATGAACACATCATCAATAATACCAGTCAATCAATAGCAAAACAATGTAACCTCCCCGCGACATTATATATATATATATATACATACAATCTCATTCAATCATCAACCAGTGTATAATATAGTATCAATGTATGTTAACAAGACGACGAATGAAATCCGACTCATGAATCGTTTCCTTATTAGTGAACCATTTACACAACATATATCCACCCTAAGTAATTGATTGATTGCCGTCAACTTTGTCAGACAGTGAACGGAACGCCCATAGTAACTTAACAGGCATATACAATTCAAGCAATATAATATGCGTATTCTTGGTATACGTGTGGGCTCCGCTAAGAACAATTCGATTGTCATCCTCTTCTTTGCAATACGGTATTACTGAATACAGTCGCGACGCAATTTGTGAGTACTGGAAAATGGCGCACGTATGACGTCGGTATGTTGCACGACTCTAGCACTGGCAACTGCCACCAAAGGTCCTGCCTCGATACGGACGCTACACGCAGCCCCATATATGCTCTCCATATAACACACCCTAAACCTAAACTTTACCTAGTAACCTCTTACGACGTAGCCTATTACACGAATATTTGATTAAAACAAAAAAAAATTGGATGATTACAAGTATCATCGGCGTGGTATTTAGGAAATGGCAGCATCTCGTTACTTCAGATGTTTGGCATCTACGTGTCGGTAAACATAACAGTGATAATAATATAGGATAGCGAACACGGCAAATCATATGTAGTAGAAGAACGGATCATATACAGCAGTTGACCCTATCATAGTAACATGATTATGATAACTTGTAACAATGATGCTATGACTATTGCACACTCCAAATTATCCTCTAAATGTTTAACAAGTATTATATCGAGTAGAAAAGATATGGCGATGGAAGCATCAACTGGCTATCTATGAGTGGTAATAACAGGAGGCATAGGCTTACTACGCACTCGTATACCTCTTAGCGATCGATCACAATGCTATAGCGACGAGGGGGCTGACCTCCTAATGGGGACAGATGTGCGCTTGTTCTGGTTAATAATGATAAGGACTGGCGTCTTCGTTGATGTCCTCTCATTGCCTTTATACAATCATGTCATTGCGTCATGTGACGATATTTTCGCTCTACCGCGGTAACTTAGGCTACATTCGGTAGGCATCAAACCAAACCAGAGTACAGTTTGCACCCGTCCATGCCATTGTGAATCGGGCGTAAGAGGGGCAATGAAGTTACGCTCATTACCTTCCATTTTGTCATGCCAACGAGAGGAAGATGTCAAAGAATATATCAATACGATGCAAAAGAATACGAGAATAATCGAAAGGAATGAGAATCATAAGGGACAATATGCATACTTTATCGTACGTACTTGGTCCGGAGATCCCAGCGAACAGACATGCTCATCAGCCGTCGGGCGGACTATTTGTGGGAAGATGCGGTAATGATCATAAACTGCTTTTCTCGGTTTCTACCGCCTGTGCCATTCCCACTATTTTGACCCTTACGTTAACAACATTGACTCTCCATTGTATTGATCCATCCATTTCTCTACCCTTAAGCAGCTACCGAAGCATCTGCATAGATAGCTAGCTGATCGAATGTTTTTAATTGAACGAGAGATCCTTGAATGTAAACATCACCTGAACATGGGTAATTTTTCTAACCCCAGACCCAAGATTGATCGAACGTCGGTATGGAAAGGGTCGTCGTGGAGTCTTCTGGCGACCCTAGGGATCATCGAGGTGTGTTTTACTTTCTCAGCTATAAGAAGCCAAGCTTCCGCTCGACAACTGATGACAATCCGTGTTAGGCTAGTCTGCGTTACGTAGCGATGGTAATGAATTGATAACTATACAGTTGACAGTAATGATAGAATCGCTATATCGAAAAAAAGCGATTGAGGAGAAACCAGGAAACTGACATATTATCGTGAGCGGTCCTTGAGGTTTCGGTAATACGAGAAATTTAAAGATGCAGGAATGGTCGACCGATCGAGATTCTTATGACATTATTAACCTCAAGATAATGACACAATGTAGATGAACATTTCAAAGGAACACTATTACACGAAATACATAAGATCTTGATGAACACTGATTGATACGAGATAGATAATATAAGAGTTGGCATTGACTATATATTCATTACAAACTCGCTAGGATAACGCTCGCGGAACACGTTGAAATAAAAAAAAAAGTAATGGGGAAAACCCACGAGGACCAACCCGGTGGGTTAGGTCGAGTGTACGCTACGCATGTAGTGTACGCTAATGGTGATAATGTCAAAGAAAATTATGATGATGATGGTAGTAATATTACGTAAAATGATAATAATTATTATATAGTTATATACTGAAGTCCATACAAGCTAGGGAAAGGCGGAGGCTGGGAAAATCACGATTAACGAAAAGCAGGCAATGGAGGTGGGCATTGCAACGGGAGCGTTAACGTAACATTCAACGAAGACGATGACAGGCGAGAACGAAAACTGAAACAAGCATCAGACGACACAAAAAGATGTAGATGAGAAACACTGTCAGTTTGTAGATGGATGATGATGATGATTATAAAGAAGATACTGATAGCGATAATTAACAATAATGATACGGTAAGTAAAACGCGCTGACTAACGACAGTGAAGAGGCCAACAGAAAATACCAATTTCGAAAGCGAAGGAGAGTCTCGGCGATGATGAGCAGCTTGTTGATTTGTAGGCGAACTGAAATAGGACGAAGAGGAAAATAGGCCGCTGGCAGGAAAGCGGTTTGCGCAGGTGCCGGCGTACGCACGCGCGAGGGATAAACAATAGGAGATGGGCTTGTCCGTAATCTAACACGGCAAAAGTAACGAAAACTGTATCCTAGCGCCATAATACCCGCATGGATTTGAGCATTGGTTTTTTTTTACACAAGTGCTTGACGCAAGTTTTTCGATTCTTAAGAACATCAACATTAACAACACAGCAAGCTTGGAAAACTATAGCAGAAAAGTCGGCTGGAACTCTTGTCTATATATATACATAGATAACGACAGTTAACGAATTAGGTTTGGTATGGATCAGTCAACAGTGGTCGTGTTAAAATTGGAGCAAAAATCGGATTAACCTCACGAGAGAAGGCAAGTTAAGATGAGGTGTATGGAAGTAGAAATGAAGCTGCACCAGATCCAGCCCCTCTGCGAACTCCGTGCACTTGCCCACAGCAATGCCCGGCATACTCGACAACGGGAAGTGCGGCCAGCTCTTGTTAAAATTTATTGTTTATTTTTGGTTATGATATTTTTTTATTACGTTCACCTTCGAGATATATACACGCATATATA